GAATAAGTTGTGACCCATAAGTATGTATACGTGACCATAAATTGTATAATTGTATAATTGTAACTTTAATATATTTCATTAATAAAATATAATTAATTAATTAATAAATACCTGATTTTTGCAATTTTTAAACTTAAGGCCTGAAAATTGATTTGGTGATAGTTAAAACCTGATCCATGAATTCTTTCCAAATAGTAGGTATAGTAACAATTACTCTAACTCGATAGGGTCCGACGTGTTTGGGAATTTTTTTATAGATGATTTAAATTTAAATTTAATAAAAATAAGTTATTAATAAGTAACTAGTACTTGCAGATTTTATTAAAATTATGAATAAAAAGTGATATAATTTTGAAAAATTATAATCAATAGCCAAACATGGGCTTACTTTGAAAGCAAAATTGGTTTGTGAGCATTTTTTTTTTTTTTTTTATCGATGCTAATTAAGCTTCCTTTTGGATACAAATTTATTTAAAAATCAAATATTAATTTCAAACTTTTCTCTACTTTTTAACTATACATTCTTCGAAAAATCATTATTCAAAATATCGTTTTTCCTCAATAATGACCATTACACAGGGCCTCAATTAAGTCATGTTTGATTCTCATTATTTTAGAACTCATATTTCCTCAAATTCAGTTTCAACCACATATTTTTAAAATAAAATATTTTTAACGTAAACCCAAAATTTTTTCTTATTTTTTAACATCACATTCTTCAACAATTCAGCATTACAAAGCTCATTTTAACTAAATAATAGACACCAGGGGCTTAGTCACCTACCAACTTTGCTAGAATTATTTCATTGAAAATTGCTACTCATTGTTATCTGCACATTTAGTAGAATCATCTTCGATTTTTTTCCAAACTATTTATAAATTAACAAATAGAAAAGAGAGCTTGTTACTTTATCACATAGAAAAGAGTAAAAGCTTCCTCCGACAAAGGACAACGTTTGTTCGCATTTACTTTATCTAAATCCAGTAATAACCAAGACAAGAATCTCTACAATAACCAAGACAAGAATCTCTACGAATCTTCTTCTAACTCCCATACGATGTGTCCACATTCACTTCATCTTGGAACCATCGGTCTAAGTTTATGAAATAGTCACATCCCTTTGGTTTGGGAGCATATTTAGCCCATGTTTGGCATGAGTTCATAATTGGTCAAATCAACTTTTATATACACGTTTTGTGAAACTTATAAGTACTACTAACTTATTCGATGCTTATCTAACTATAATGTTGGTAATTTGAAAAATGATTATAAATAATTCGCAAGCATGCTTTTAGTTGGCGGTGTCAAAATGAATATACAATTCAAGCTGGGTCAATTTCTGTAAAAATTAATGAAATCTGTCAACAGAATGAAAATTGACATTCATAGAAATTACAATTTCTATTACATGGACTCATGGTACTTTATAACATCCAATGTATTCAAATTGAATTTCTCGCAGATTTTTTTTATACTACATTTACTAAGACCATTGGCATCATCATGGTGAATAACCTCATCAAGTTCCTTGGACGGGTCGAAAACCTAGAGAGAAAATGGAAAAGTGCCAGTCAGAAGGCGAATAGTGTTTCAAGTAATGAACCTGCAATAAACTAGGAATGACGTATTAAAAAAAAGAAGAATTATGGTGAGCACGTGTATTTACATGAAAATCTTGGAGATTGCAAGTACTCAAATTAATCAAACTAAAAAATTATGAGTATTTTACGTGCTAGACTTTTGATGAAAAAATGAATGTGATATCTCAATAAGGAACCGAAGAAGTGCACAAGTTTCCTACAAATATAAACAACTGAGGCGCACGTTGAGTTAAAAAAAACAACATTCAATTAGCAACGCCATCATTCTGAGAGGTGAAGTAAGAGAGACGCAAGGATCATCCAACTTAATGAGAATCACCCTCCCGCCCCCCACCCATAATTCGAACTGCGAGATCGGAGCCTCGAGTATCCAGTTTAAAGTATCAACTAGAATTTTCCCTATTGGACGAGAACTTAGTAGTTGAAGTACAAAGTATTGGATAATTAAACTCACAAAGCAACAATTATCAACATTCAAGTTTCAGTATTATTTTTTTATTGAATGGACTCCAGTAGATAACCATGTTTAACTAGAAGTAGTTCTATGAAACCAAGACGAATAGTACAAAACAAAATCTAGGGGCGGGGACAAAACAAAAGAAATAGCTATGAGCAAATAATTGATCAAAATTAATATTTCACAATATAAAGATATCATACCCATGGAGGACCAACAGAATCGTCACTTCCTTTATCAGAGTTCAATGTTGTACTCTCACTCTTCTTTGACTCAAGATGCTGATTCGGACCAGAGGAATCATCGGTGACTACATGAAGAAGCTTCTCACTTCCCTGAAAACGATCAGTTTAAGCACATAAACTCGTTAGTAATCCTGGTTACTGCTTTTCCTGTACATTAGATCAGATTCTGAGATTGAAACTTCAGTTGTAAGCTTAAAATTCCACCAAATATATGTTAATAAGGTTATTGTTAGTAGATGTTTTGAGAAATCTTGCTCAACTTCAGATCTGTCTGTGTGGCTTAGGCAATTACGACTTACGAGCAATGACCAAGAATTGACACAGCAAGTAATGGTTTTAAGAAGTTTCACTCACCTTTGCAGCTCTCCAGTGCGAATAAGTGCGGAATAAGATCCAAAAGAATGGAATGTTAGGCAAGGGAAGAACCTGCATAAGACTCATTCGAACAGATGAAATGAGATACTTCCCACTGTGTATCAACTGCAATACATATGCAGAGAAGACAAGCTACTTTTTTCTAGGAAAAATAGGAGAAAAGTCGCATGTTACCAGATGTACAGATACGTACCATAAAAACTGATGTCAGCGGCAGCAATATGGCTGATCCATAGAAGTACTGCTTGTGAATAACTGAGCCCCTGATTGTCGTACAAAGTAAATGCATAAATTTTACATTCTCACGATATGATAAACATAATAAACATTTATTATGTGATATTAAACATAGATAAAATCAGTTTCCTCCAATGGCAGTAAGACATATATATTAATGTCAAAAGAGATCATAATAGAGGAAGACTTGATGAATGCCTTGAGACTTTGTAAAACTTTTCTTAGACCATGATATCACAATTTCACTCGACCGAACTGTAGGAAGAATATGTGTTTCTTAAAACCTGCAAATTTATAGGAAAAATGCTAGATGTACATCAAAAAGTGTACATCAAGGTCTACATCCCCTCACATGGAGGGGTCCACTCGAATAAAATATTCAAGTGGGCCCCTTACCCATGTGAGGGGGGTGTACACCATGATGTACACCCCGATGTACCACTAGCATGGCTCAATTTATAATAGCAAAAACACGTCACTATCTTCATCCAAACATGCTAGTGCAGGATCAGCCCTTGGTCACCTTCCTCCCACAGAATGGGAGACATGGCATTCCAACTGAACAGTACAACCTTACACTGACTACTCAGAGTTCACCAATTTCCAATCAAATCGAACCCCTTCCACAGCCACCTCCCTCCCACTAAAGGTAAGAAAGTTGTGCTCCCATATCATGCATGGAGATGGCACTACACAGAAGAACCCATAATGGGTAAAACACCAAACACCATATAATACTTCTCTATGTCCCTCTTCCCACCTCCACCCTTATCGAGGCTTGCTGTAAATGTGAATGCTACATTGCATCCTTGGATTCAAGAATTCAAAAAAAAACAAAGCACCATATACACTGATAGGATAATATTACCTACATGAAGCATCTTAGCCTTCTAGACCCTGCAATAGTTAGATGCTCCTGCACTGAGTTAGACCCCCCCCCCCCCCCCCCCCNGAAAAGGTTTTGTCTATCTTCCAGATTTGAACAGAGAGTTGGATCGGGTTAGAAGATGTTGAGAGATTTGATTTGAGAGAATTTCTTATTATCTTTCATAAACGGGTTACACATATATATACATAGAGAATATTTCTCATTAGGAAATAACCCTATCAATAAGGAAAATAATTCTACCATATATACATCTGTTCTATATATGTAAAGACAACCTATAACACTCCTCCTCAAACTGGAGCATAGATATCAATCATGCCATAGTTGTTATAAATATAGTTTACTCGATTCTCAGTTAAGGCTTTAGTGAACACATCAGCTTATTGATCCCCTGTCTTGACATGCTTAGTCAAAATCAATCCTTGTTGTACCTTCTCACGAACAAAATGACAGTATGTCTCTATGTGCTTTGTTCTCTCATGAAATACCGGATTAGTGGCAATGTGAATAGCTGCTTGATTATCACACCACAAGTTCATAGAGTGAGACGTATCAATGCCAATCTCCCCAAGTAAGTGATGTAGCCACATAAGTTCACAAGTCACTTGTGCCATAGCCCGATATTCAGATTCTGCACTTGATCGAGCAACAACATTTTGTTTCTTACTTTTTCAAGAGACTAGATTACCTCCAACGAAAAATGCAATACCCTGTAGTAGAGCGCCTATCTACAGGAGAACCTGCCCAATCAGCATCTGAGAACCCCTCAACTTTACAATGACCATGATCTCTATAAAGAATCCCACGTCCTGTAGCTCCTTTAAGATATTTTAATATATGAATGACAGCATCCCAATGTGAAATTCTAGGAGATAACATAAACTGACTAATAACACTTACTGGAAAGGCAATATCTGGAAGAGTAATTGTGAGATAGTTCAATTTTCCCACTACCCTCCTGTACTTGTCTGCATCAACAAAAACATCTCCATCTTCTGCTCCAAGTTTCACATTGGGTATCATGGGGGTATCACAAGGTTTTGTTTCAGCTAAACATGTCTCATCCAGTACATCTAGGACATATTTCCTTTGAGATAGAAAAATTCCTTTACCACTTCGAGAGACTTCTATTCCTAAGAAATATAAACAGTATGCCTAGGAAAGCCTTCAGCATACTTATGTCACTGCTGTTACTGCCAATAATTACAATATCAACATATACCACTAACAAAATACACCCAGTTGTAGATTGTTTAAAGAATACGGAGTGATCATATGCACTTCTTTGCAAGCTAAATCCAGTCACAACCTCACTAAATCTTCCAAACCATGCACGGGGTGATTGCTTCAGACCATACAATGACTTTTCCAGTTTACATACTTTCCCACTCCCCCTGAGCAACGAACCCCGGTGGTTGCTCCATGTAAACTTCTTCGAGCAAATCACCATGGAGGAATGAATTTTTAACATCCAGCTGATGAAGCGGCCAATAATAGGTAGCAACAAGAAAAATGAATAACCGAATAGAAGCGAGCTTAGCAACAGGAGAAAAAGTTTCAGAGTAATCCACACTATAAGTTTAAGCATACCCCTTAGCAACCAAACGAGCATTCAATCGAGCAACAGAACCACCAGGATTCATCTTAACTGTAAACACCCACTTACACCCCGATGGCCTGTTTATTGAGGGGTAAAGGAACAAACTCCCAAGTGTGATTATGGTCTAGTGCTAGCATTTCTTCTTGCATGGCCGCTCGCCAGCCACTATGAGACAAAGCCTCAGAGATAGATGTCGGTAAAGACACGTGCTCTAAGGAAGCAATGAAGGACTTGGAAGAAGGTGACAAAGCATGATAAGAAACAAAAGAAGAGACAGGATAAGTACAAGACCGTTTACCTTTTTGAAGGGCAATTGGAAGATCAAAACTAAGATCAGCAGAGGGTGACGAATCCGGAGGCGAAGCAACAGGTAGAGGCTGTAAGTCATGGTTAGTAGCAGGTGCCGCCGAAGATTGTTGCACACGACGATTGTAAACATTTCAAATAGAAGGACGAGAAGATACTGGTAACACAGGTGTAGTCACAGTGTAAATGAGGAAATCATCCTCTGACCCAATAGAAGATGGAGTAGAGGACTGAGAAGTATTGGAAAAGGGGGTGGACTCAAAGAAGGTGACATCAGCAGATACTAAGCATCTTCCTAAGGAAGGAGAAAAACATCGATAACCTTTTTGAAGTCGAGAATAACCCAAAAATATACACCTAAGGGATCTAGGATCAAACTTAGAAACTTGAGGTCTCATATCTTGGAAAAAACAAGTGCACCCAAATACTCTAAGAGCAAGAGAGAATAAAATTTGAGAGGGAAACATAATGAAATAAGGGATCCTACCATCCAAAATAGAGGAAGGCATACGATTGATTAAATAACATGCAGTAGATACTGCATCTGCCCAAAATTCTTTTGAAACATTCATATCAAAAAGGAGAGCTCGTGCAACCTCCATCAGACGACAACAGGCATCCGTCCGACCATAAATATACTCAAGTTCTTCTGTCTTTAATCAATATCAACTAACCCAACACTCCCTACCAGAAAAGAAAAGGTAGAAGAAGAAAAGGAAAGAAAGGAAGTGAAAAAAAAATACCAAACCCTAGAAACCTTGCTCTGATACCATGTTGAGAGATTTGATTTGGGAGAATTTCTTATTATCTTTCATAAACAGGTTACACATATATATACAGAGAGAATATTTCTCATTAGGAAATAATCCTATCAATAAGAAAAATAATCCTACCATATATACATATGTTGTATATATGTAAAGACAACCTATAACAGAAGAGCTTTGGAGACGAGCCTATTCCATGTGCGAGAGTTTATTTAGCAACAAGAAGAAAAGAAGGCACATAAGATGGAAACTTCACGAGAAGCCTCTAGGCCTCATTGCAACAGATCAGCCACATAAGATGGAAACTCCACGGGAAGCCTCAAGGCCAGGGAAGAGGAAACAAAACAACCAAACAACTGAGGATTTTTGGTTGTTGACCAGCACAAAGTTGAGCGTGTTGGACAACATGAAAGCTTCAAGTCTATGGTCTTGTGCAAGGTAACATTTGAGTATCTCCAAAATTCATGAGCCATCGTTATTCCTCTTCTCCATTTACAGGAAACGTGGCCAAGTATGTAAATTTCTCTATGCTTCACAATGTTATAAAAAAATAAAAAAAGGTCCATGGTTTATAGATTCAGGGCATTCAGATCATTGGCTAGGCTCATCAAATCTTTCACTTCTTATATTCTAGATTTGGGACATCATAAGGTTAAATTAGCATATGGGCCTCTCTTCTATTTCTAAAAAGTTTCGTCCTAATGTATGTCCTACTTGTTCCTAATTTCTCTTGCAACTTAATTTCCATCAAACTTGCTCATACTTGATCTGTACCGCTAAATACTTTCGAATTCAATGTGTATTTTAGGAAACGTGACAGGAGAGGATTTACGATTAGACTAGCATAAGGCTTATTTATTGTCAAAGAAGAGATCGAGAATGTTTAAGAGGTATCACAATGTGAGAATTCTGACTTCCACAGGGCACAAACCCTCTTTCACGAAGAGCGTGATAGAAAAAAACATACGTTTTGGTAAATCTTATTGGTCACCATAATTGAAAACTCCACAATTTGTGTCTTATTTCTTCTAGTTCAACTCTTTCTTCTACTAATTACATTGACATTTCTACTACACCAATTAGATTGAAATGAATGATTTCTTTCATGGATATATAAAGGATGAGTGTACATAGGACAGTCTCCAATTTTGATCGAAGTCTTCGAAGAAGGTGGCCATAGTAGGCTAAGAAAATCTCTCTAAGGAGTAAAACAATCAACCTAAGCTTGGTTTGAAAAACCAAACAATGTTTTTATAAGCGTGCATAGGGAGTTAAGGTGATCATTCTGTCTAATGGTGTAACGACCGAAGACAGAAGTCTTGAATTCGAATCTTAGGAGTAAAATTGACAAACTCTTTAAAAGCAGACAATGCGTATGATATAACGGTTTTGGCATGAAAGCTCGGGTCATTACAAAAAACACATACCAGAATTCAACT